ACATACATTCATTTTTATATATATAGATAACATACAATATGAGGCACTAATGTACCATAATGATAGGAGGACGAATAAGTTTTCAGAAATAAAGGTAATATTTTCGTAATTTTATTATCTCTGCAGATACGCATAAGCGTAGTTAGAGTTCACAGGTTCATTGATATTATATTATAAAAATAAGTTATGACATGATGAGTACTCGATATAGCGATATGTATGGCGTTAAGTTTTATTCTATACTTTGATGTTACAGGCTTACAATATAATATTATTTTTTAGTATGCATGAAAAACGGATAATAACAAATCGTTAATAGACGTGAGGCGCCTACTTAACTTAATATACCTATTGTTCCCTTATCAATTATTAATTACTTTTAGTTTCTACTACTATTTTTCGTCACCAGAAAACCAGATATGTATCGTACCTATAGTTCTAATTTATTATTATATTACCTACGTGTTATTAAGACATTTTTACTGTTTTATCGATATTTAATATAAGTATAAAGTAAATTTTATCATATCGGGTGTAGACTAGTCAGATAAAATTAATTAGTATTTCTATAGGCACTTGCATTAAATTTAAATCTATACTCGAAACTAAGAACTTAGCAATGTATGCTCGTAATCGTGATTAGGTATACTTATTTTTATAAACTTATAAACACGTAATATTCTTTTTTTTTTTTAATAATTTAAATAAGAATATTGAATATTTGATATTTTTATTTGATATATTTTCCTACTATCCACCAACGTATACCAACAATACAACTATTGTGTTTCAGAACATAAAAATTCGAGAACAAACAAATAATAATATTTGGCTTAATATATACCACTATATATACTACTATATTTACATGAAAGTTTTTATTGAAGTTAATATTGTAGTCTCAAATGACAAGCGTTTTATAATTTTCAATCCTTTCAATTTATTATCAAGCTGTCAAAAGTTCCTACGAGGATTACTTAAGAATGGTTGGAATGGAGGATTATGGTGAGTCAAAATAGTACTATCTTAAATCGTGGTCAAAACTACGATAAAGTTAAGCTATTGTTTTTCGACAACTTTACACTATTTGTCACGTAAGTGATTGTCGTGATACTAAAAATAAGTATACATTATACATATTTTATACTTACACACAAGGTGGATGAATAACACAAAATTGTATCGTATTATTAAAAATTAATCATTAATATTATACCGTCTTTAAGTATTAATAGATACATATGTATAATTAAATATTTTGAATAGCACATCATACGACATACAATGTACATATTTTGTAATTTTTCTTCATTATAATTTAAATTTAAATTTATAGGTACAATTAAATGCTTAAACACAAATACTGGATACACCAGTAGACATACCAGTATACTGGATGCACTTACTATTACAATTTATATTAAATTACTGTTCATTATTTGTTATTTAATAATATAGGTTGATTTTTTGATTGTCGTTAAAATAATTGAAACACAATAATACGCAATAATATTATGTGCATGTATTTAAAAAAACAAAAAAACCTTATGGAAAAATAGTTTAAAAACGAATCCGATCACTAGGTATCGAGATGGCTAGGTACCTACTTAAAATAACGCAAAATAGTTTTTTTTTAATAGGTACATCTTTCTTTTTTTTGTGGAAACCGGGGTGGAATCTATTATTATAGCCTCTAGACGAAACTTAAATAGGTACCTGTGTTAAGTGTATTATTATAATAAATATTAGAGTAGGTAAAAATGTCTTAGTTGTATTTTAGTTGATATCCAATGGTTATAACTATATTAACTATAGTTGGTACTTAAACATTTGTTTTGCATCTAGTTTTTGTTTCATTAAATATATGTTATTTAAGTATATGACAGTTATTGATAGAGGTAATAGATTTAGTGTGGCATAATTTGCAAATGAAATAATAATAATATTAGTTTTATTGTTTTTTTTTTTTTTTTTTGATCCTTAAGCCTGGCATCTATGGCCATTAGCTGTTTGTAGGGTTGTATTGTGGTGATGGTAGGGTTGGGAACGGTGACACGTGGTTGTTTGTGTTTGGCAGAATTTTTGAGTGGGCACCCGTAGGTATCTGCCATGCCCGGGTGGGGGGTGGCGGCCTTTTTCTCCGGACACCGTGACTGCCCGAAGAAAAAAGCCGCCCGTAACCGGAATCGAACTTGCGTCGATGCGCGTCGCAACCGACGCCTCAGTCGGCTCGGCCACTCCGTCCCCCAATTTTATTGTTTGTAACCAATAAAATGCACACAAAAATAAATAAATTAAATGCTCAGATGGTTACACATCCCCTATAATATGATTTTGTAATTGGGAATGTTCAGTTCAATTTAGGTACAAAATATTACATAATATAATTTAAAAATAGTTAGTAAATAAAGAAAATTATTGCCTATTGAATACTGATATGTGATCTCCCACATTAATGGATACCTACCAGCTTGTTGTAATATGTGACCTGCCCCATTGATGAATACCTACCAACAAATATGGGTACAAATATGATAAATGCAATGATAAAATTAATAAATTAATAAAGATTTATTAATTGTTTTAAATATTTAATAGAACCAATGTAGCAACATTTCTGGATAATCCTATAGATTTTTCATAATATTCCAAGTTCTACATAAATATGACCGAATACATTTCATTGCCCGAGTATTAGCACCTGTATTAGAATTGATGACATTTTTCTAGTGGTTTACTGATTTAATAGTTTATATCCTTTATTATTTTAACCTTAATAGGTATGATGCCCATTCATCGGATATAATAGTAGTAACAACCATAACATTATCTATAAAACTGTAGGTCACACATAACACTACATAGTATATACCAATAAATATAGATTACATACAACACAAATACCCATTATTGATTGGTCATATAAGTTTTCAAAGAATATTATTTATAATATTTAAAGTTAGGGTTTTGATTAGATTAAACATATTATTATTATTTTTTTTTTTATTGGTCTAGAGTCCAGCAACTATGGCAATTAACTATTATGGGGTTACGGTTGTAACGGTTCACTTAGGCCATTGGGTGGTTTTTTTTTTTTTCAATTGTGGGGAGAGTACTGTAGGTTTTTGGTAAACACATGTGTTCGGTTTTGGTTGAATTTTCAAATTGGGTACCCGTAGGTTACTGCCATGCCCGGCCATGGCCTCACTCTAGACAGTTGCCTGCCTAGAGAGATGAGCCGTTTGTGGCCGAGATTCAAACCAGTAACGGTACGCGTCAAAACCATGCCGTGGTCTGCTCGGCCACTCCATCCCCCAAAACATATTATTAAAATATTATGAAAACTTAATATATTTACATAAAGTTGAATGCTCATCAATTAAAGATTTAATTTTCCCAAAAGTAGTGTTGCACATATTGTGGTCATATTAATAATTTTATGAAGTCTTGTAAAATAATTGTGTTAACAAGGATATAGTAGAAAATCTATATTGAAAATGTAAAAAACATTTTATTTTTAAATTTTAACTTAATTATGTATGTTTTAACTTTTAAGTATTATAAATGATGATTTATTTAAAATGTAGGTTAATTATTAAGGCAATTTTTAAATGTTTAAAATGATGAATGTTCATATAATTTATGATAATTATCGCTATTTTTATTATTTTGTTTTTTAAAATACATATTATATTTGATCTTGTTTAGATTTAATTTTAACACAATTGACCATAAAATGTAGGTACAATTTATTTTAAGACTCATTCAAAATATGTAAGACAGTGTTAAAAATTTAATTTTAATCAACTAAGATGAGATTTGAGTATTTCTAATTTGTAAGGCTTCTGAAATCAAAGGAACTTATGACTTTATAGCCAAGTATAAGTATATTATATTATATAAAAATAATAGGTATACAATAAACAGATAATTCAAGATAGAAATTCATCAATGACAAAACAAACCACCAACTATTAAATACCATTTCTTTATTTGATTATGATATGAGGTATGTATTGTAATATAGACTTATAGTTTTTTTTTGTCTATTTAATAATAATCTAGTAAATCATATAGCCTTTAGACCTGATTAAGACTGAGGAAACACTATAAATTTAGACTTATTTAAACTTATTTTATAACATATTATATTGTGATCATTATAAATTAAGTCCTAATATGGTTTTCTTTTAAAATATTGAATTCATTGATGTTTGGTGAACATTAACATTGTACCGCAGTATAGCTAATATTGTACATTGTACCTACATTTGGTAAAAGAATAATATTCATTAACTTCAGATAGTTATTGTTATTCTTTATTAGTTATTAATTATTATTAAGCAAATAAGCTAATAAGTATGTACCTATATAACACACAAACATAAAAAAAGCCACTGAACTTGTAATTACAACTTTTGATTTTTTTTTTTTTGGTGATGAACTAACAACTGTTGATTATAATCAACCCTAGTACAATTGTGATACACTAGAATAAAAAAAGTTAAAATCTACATAAAAGAGGTACCTATATATAATTATACCTATATAAATATATAATGATTGATTTTAAGTGTTATATTCTTAAACTTAATAATATACCTAGGTACATAATTAGGTACCTACTTAATACCTATAACTTGCAATACATTGTAATCAAATTTATTCATTTCTAGATTCATTTTTAAAATTCCACCAAGAATAAAAGATACCAACTATATTTCAGGAGAGTAAGTTAGGTTAGATTATTTAGAATAATTATAGGCAGGATTAAAGGCAACTGCAAACTACCTACTTAAAAATATATTCAAAATTTCAACGACATTTTTGTGACACAACACATACAACTAAACATCCTGAACATTTAATCCGGAATTAAATCCAACGTATGATTCAGATTTGATTGTTGCCTAGAGTGACTGTTTAGACTCATAACTTTTTATGAAACGGGTTTATTTTATTACATTGATAAATCACAGACAATCGCTTATTGCACTTACTTCTAGATCGCCATCTTCTCTAAGGTGTTTGTTTACATCTTCCTCGTCTACTCTGTAATCCTTGAGCAACTCGTATGCAGCAGCAGAGTGGTGAGTGGCGAATAGCCGGTCGGTGACATCGGCGTTCTTCAGAAATGACAATGTGTTGGTGCCGCCCGGATGGAAGCGCAAGAAGTGTTCAATGTTGTGCTTCTTCCCATCGTGCTTGACCACGAACGGCGTCGTGGACATTATCTCGCGGCTATGTGGCTATGAGCACACGGTGGTCGTGTAGTTCACGCGTCCATTGGCCGTAGATGTACGGGGAAGATGGTTCACGGATGGGGTTGATTATTTTATGTGGTGGTCGTAGTTGGGATCACTTGAGTCGTTTGAACAAATAAATTCGACGGACACACATTCAAACCGGTTCAACTAAACTCGATGCGAGGGACGAGCCAAACACAACTTCGGCGACGGCGATCGGCACACTAAGCACGTCGGTTCAACAAAAACGGAAAAATAACTACTGAAAACTGCGGAAATAAATATAGCATTTTTTAATAATCACTGGTCACCATGACAAAATGCTGGTCACTAAATTACGTGACGAAACGACAACCGGCCGCGATTGAGGCTCGTAAAGCTTTATCTCTTATCAAAGGATGCGCTCGCGCCTCGGAGACCCGCCCGAAAATGTGTTGCTTTTTATTATTATTATTATTATTATTGTTCACAGATATCACTTGAAATCCACACCACGAATGATAAATTGATAACGGTTAAATCTGTTTTTTACGAGTGGACGAACAAAATTAAAAAAAAAAAATCTGAGGGGACGAATTTCTTCAAATCCGTTTTCGTGCGGCCAAACAATTCCTACGAAAACGATACGACGTCTATTCGCGGGCAAACAGAAAAATCGCACTGAACCCAACGGACACGCGGCGCCCACTACCAACTTATTACAGGTGTAGAACGTTGTGAGGGGCGAGCGTGAGCGTTACAAGTATTAACCGTAGAAAATATTAAATAAACCGCTGGCCGCCGCAGCTGGTTGCCTGGTTCGTCCGTTTCCCGGCTTCCTGCGACCGGTGACCAACGGGGACGCCACCGTCGTCACGACGTCAAGTCGTCGTCGGCGGGGCGGGCGACCGCTATGCCATCTACACACCGATGGTAAAAACCGGTAAATTGATCGCGGGATTTTCGAATTCCCGTCCGTCGGCGGCGCCATTTTTGTTTTAGATTTCCCCGTACCGTCGTCGTCCGACGACCGACATAAATAAGACGACAGACGTCAGTGGTCAGTCGGTGATCAGAATTATCCGAGTACGAATGCATTATATTACGTTTTAGTTTTTTGCAATCCACGTGAACCTGTCAATAGCGTTCGTTATAAATTATAATATTGCGTGTGGCAATCTATATTTTTGTCCATACGTTCGTCATGAACGATACAAAAATACGGAATCGTAGAATGTAGAAATACCGAATTTTGGTGGGTCTGCAGGCACATTGTCCGAGCCCCGAGGCAATAACATAGAATGCGGAATGCGAGGGATCTGAAAAATCAAAAATGATAACCGCGAGATCAAATAACATTTTGATTATGTTTATGGTCCAATTTCGTATTTTTTCTTCTTTCCACTAGCCTTTTGTTTAGAAACCGTATACTCATCGACGGTCTTTAATTATTAAGTGGCTTGACAATTAGGGATGATAATTTATTTTCGTCGTTCCTTACCGTAATTAGCCACCTGGCCCAGCTATGGTGATATTAGGGTCTATATAGTACCTATATATACCTACGCTTTGGAGAGGGACTGAAACAATAATTCATTCTCTATACTCAGGTAGAGGTAGACCCGTTAGATGTTTTGACCTCCCTTGTATAATATATATCTCTACTACATTATTCTTATTGTTATTATATCACAATGCGGTTAAATAATTAAATGCTTCATTATAAAATGTATTATTATTATGTAGGTAGGTTACCTACCTATATGGCTATATGAGACTCGACTGATGAACCCTAAAGAAATAGTAATTGCGTATAATAAGTGGCAGAAGTATATTATCATTGTTTAGGTTCATCAGTCGGTAAATAATAATACATCGTCAGTAATTTGATATGGAATAGAAAATTGTAAATAGTAATTTGAGAAAAAATATTCTATTAGATTTAGGACTTAAGAGTTAAGGAGGCAATTCGTGCGTGCTACCTACCAATTTCCACGAGGGATAAATCTTCAATGATATCGATAATAAATGTATAGGTGTATTTAAATTGAGTCCTGATATTTGTATAGGTAGTCCAAGTGGAGTCACAAACAATCTTACAGTATTCTGGATTTTATAATGATTAAAATAACGTGCCGGCTATATATATTATTATGGTATAAATTCAATATTTACAGCGTGTATTTTCAATTATCAAAGTACCTAGTCTGTTATTTTTATTTATTTTTTTGTAGGTGTTTATATTACTTCATACTGAAATTGGAAAAATTTAAAAAGAACTTTATTATTTTTTCTTTTAAGTTGAGATACGGGATTGCTTAGGAGCAAGAAAACAATAAGTGGATAGTTACCTACTTTTCAATATTACATCTGTCATCTTGTAAATACTTTTAAAAATATATTAATATAATATTTAGTTTGTATGAATGATAAATACATTATTATTATCAATTTATAATAATTTCATTAAACCTATAATTTATACTTGAAGGGAGTTAAAGTTCCACTGATTACAGGTCATAACTCATAATGTCATATATAGCACTTCTATAAACCATAAATAATATTTGGTTCAATATTTTAATACATCAAATCAGTTCTGTATAGGACATGGCCACAATATTGATACGTACAATTATTATATTAAAGATTTGAGAGCTGAGAACATATATATATATAGCATATAATATAGGTACCTATCAAATTAATTATAAGGTGGACAATTTTATTCAACCTTATAGATTTGTTTGGTTTTTTTCCAATTGATATTCATTAGAGTCATACATTTTATAAAAAGCATGTCTATGAAACACAAATATAACGTATACTTTAAACCTAATCTATAATTTAATCTTAGAGTATTTTTAATCGTATTATTGTTGTTGACAAAATAATAATATAAATAAGTATAGCAAAAATATAGGTACGTGATGATAACAATATAAAAAAAAAATAATAACATGCAATTTAATTGTTGTTGCAATTTTTTGAGGAAAATAATAATTAATTTTTACTTTTTAGTAGGTAGTTAGATCCTATATATCAATGTTCAACAATACGTGCATACATAGGTATATAGATATTCCATACCTATCATCAATGTTTTGTTACTTGTTTGGGACAGAAAATAATCAGATATATAATGTATATTTTTGCATACAATTTTTGAAGGCTAAATAATAGATATTTTAATATGATAAAATAATTTTGTTCAGTCAACTGAATATTACGATCAGAAAATTATTATTTTTATATATTTTAACATTAATATATACCTATAGGTACCTATATAATAATATTATTTTCAATAGGGTACCTATTACACATAGGGTATTATATCAGTACACAATGTACAATATACGTTTAGGTAGTTATCAAGTGTATCTAGAATAGTAGCATCTATGTAATAGTTGAATAACTAACTATACACGATGCATATTTAAAAACTACTATGAATATTGAATAGGTATATATCATGTATGGTGTATACTGCGTATAGTCATAGAGTTGGCTACATGTACAATGTACATAGGTGCACATTGGGTGTAAATTTAGGGGGTGCTGGAATAATTTATGTTACACAGCCATGAACTGCATTACATTAGTTTTAAATTTGTATACAATAAAAGGTATGTAAATAGTAATGAATCAAATAGTCTGTATGATTGTTAAGAAGACGCTAGGTACACGCCAAGTGCGCCCACAGGATTAAATCCCACCCGGGGCAAGATAAAAATTATTTATAATCTAATATTAGTTAAAGCGATATTGATATTAAAGAACATGCAGTAAAAAATTCCCAGGGGGGGCAATGGCCCCTTTGGCACCCCCTGCGGGCGCCCATGGGTACACCCACACGTCTTGTCTCCGTATTACAAATGAAAAACATAGGAAAAACAGTTACATATTAAGAAGTTTAGAAACTAAATATTTTAGTATAGCAAATCATCTCATAATTGTCTATTTTTATACATGATTAATGATATATTTAACAGTTTAGTTGTTTCGTAAGTTTACTGTTTGGTTGTTGGTTTTAGGTTCTTCAATTCCTGTTTCAGACAGTAATAATGACATTATTGCTACCCCTTATGATTTTATTTTGCTACCGCTTTCCCAAACAATTGTACCTATATAGATATAATGACGCAATAACCTTTACATTTTAGTTTTAACTTTTAACTATAAGAAAATAATCCATCATAATACAGTTGAATGTAATCTAATATCTATATTCTATATAGTATATAATGTTTAATAATAATCTTGTAAGTCATAAATCATATAAATTTATGATATAAATGTTTATGTATTAAACGTTTAAACTTATACTTGAAATAATACCAATTACAGTAATACAGTACATAAATATTGGACCTATATATATATAGGTAAGTATAAAAAGAGACACTGACAAATAAATAATAATGCTATATTACTTCCTTGTGTGTGGCTTGTAGCCTGTAGGTTGGTCTCAGTCACTTAAATGTTCTGAGGTCAAGCATTGATCGGTGTCACTAGTTCCCGGATGGTTGACCACCCGGGATTAATGACGAATTCTCACCCCCACATACATGACACATGTGTTTTTCAACCACCCGTAACCCCCCTATTATTATTTAATAGCCATAGTTGCCGATGCTTAAGATAAATAAAAAAAAATAATAATAATAATGCTGTTGAAGTGGAATATAGTTACTAGTTATTATCGTATAGTGTATACACGTCATTACTATATCCATTTAGGTAGCAATGACTACCGAGTGTCGCCAAATGTGTAATATTTACAAACACATTAATAAATTGTAATAAATACAAAATATATCTTAATAATAAATAATAAAATAAAATGGTATGTATACCCAAACTCAATAGAATTGATTATATTTTATGCTTGCCATTTATAATTTATTTGATTAAGGTAATTAAAAATTAAATACACATTTTAACCTAAATATGATTGTTTGGGATTTCATCAGTTCCGTCAAACTTTTTGATTCGTGTTAATT